ATTTTCGGGGTAGCAGCAGAAGAAGACAGTCTGTTCCCATGCAGATCAGCAGCTACTTTGAGGTGAGTTACCTTCCAGTAGCGGTGGGTCTAAGGCCACAAGGTCGGCCCACCAGTAGGATTACGTATGATAGATGATTGTCTTTGTGATATCATCTAGGTTTGCTACTACCTGATATGTTATATGCTAGCATGATATGTTGTATGTGATAGTAGTAGAGTTCGGTTGTTAGGATCGAAGGGTAGTCAGACACCCCAGATACGTCTGACAGTATGTGATAATATGTTTGCATGCTGGCTTATTATGTTATATGCGATAGAGGTAGTAGGAGGGGACCACTCCCCGAGTTCGGTTGATAGGACCGAAGGGTAGTTCAGGCACCCCAGATATGTTTGATAATATGTTATGTTATAGTATATGTGATAGTAGCAGTAGGGGTGAAATAGTCCCCGAGGACTGGTGTTAGGGCCGATGGGTAGTCAGCACCCCAAAATGGCTTGACATGGGTAGTCAGCACCCCAGAACGGCTTGACACGGGTAGGTCGACACCCCAGAATGATCGTACCGGGTAAGTCGGGCACCCCAGAATTGCCCGATAGTATGTATGATATGTGATTGCATGCTATGTGGTATGATGGGGGAACTCACTAAGCTTCGTGCTTACAGTTTTCAGTTTTGGTTTCAGGTAGCTCTTCTTCGAAGGGGAAGGAGCTGGCGCGGTAGCGGCATATCACACACACGCTTTGTATTTCGCACTATGAGATCTTCCTGGGGAATTGTACTCTGACATTATTATGTTTTTATAAATTGATTTCCAGACACGCACATCTTGTATGAAATGATATGATCGGTGAATGTTTTATTTCTAATGTTTTGCTAAGTATGTGTTTTAAAAATGAAATTTTTGGCTTGTATTTTTGGGACGTTACATTATGAGTTTTAATGGTTTTAAAGAAAAGACTTTTGGAATTCCATAACTTGAGGGGAAGTTATGGAGTCCATTAATTGGAATTTAGATCAAGAATTACACTAACAAATAATTTGCAAAATTTTTTTATGATCTAATAAAACTCATAAGCATGAATATTCATATCAAAATTTTTAAGAATCATATAAACATATATAAAACTTGAAACTTTGATAATTACCTTTGAAAATAGATTAGCATAATCATTACCATATCAAAAAAACAGATTTTGCAAGTCCAAAACAATTTAGGGTAATGATTCTAGTCTAATTCCACCATAAAAACTTGAAATTCTGCACTCTGGGCCTCCTACTCGTCGAGTGTATGAACCTACTCGACTAGTAGGAAGAACTTTCACTTGGGCTCATTGAGTCCTCCCATGGACTCGATGAGTTCATTGAACAGTGAGGCGGATTTTGACTTTTTTCAGCAATTTGTATCAAGTATAATGAAAACAAGCCTAGTCTCTGATACCACTGATGGGTTTTGAGCATTCTAATACTCATATGGTGTACATGCAACCCTAAAAACATTGGATCTATGTTTTCTGTATTATACATGCAGATTTGGTTTTCCAAGGTTCTCATCCTAACTAGCATATCATGGGGTACTTGTAATATAGTAGAATGACTTACCTTTTCTTGTGGTTGATTACTTGGAACTTTAAGAGCCTAGCACCAATAATGTGAATGCCTCAAGTGGAATCACAAATCACCCAAAACAACTTGGAAGACTTTGAGAGAATATGAAGCACTGTAGAAATCGTTCCACCCTTGTTCTCACACACTAGTGCCAAATTCTAGAACTAGTAACACCTTTATATAGTACACAGGATTAGGTTTACATCCATGTAAACCCTAATACCCATGACCATTCACATACCTAGGATCCATGGGTCAAAAGCTCCATGAACTTTCCATGGACTTTCATGCAAGATTAGCCCATCCTAAATAATCGATTGGCTCATACTATTAGAATCCATATTTAAGTAGTCTCTTTTGATCACCAAATTAATTCTTGATCAATACTAATTAAATAATATGATTTCATATTAATATATTATAACTTATAATATATTAATAAATCACAAATATACTCTTCTCAAAAGTCTATCCACACAAATTGTTCCGGTGAATTGCAACCAAAATGGACTTAGACACCTTATCCAACATTTAGGGCATGGAGGAGGGTCAAGACTTGATAAAGATGGGAACTTTATATTAAAAGAGGCCATGAAACGTCCAGATCTGAAGTCATAGCTACATGACAACTTAAATCCAAGAATGACTCCAATATAAGCTAATAATAACCATAAACTCTCAATTGAAGAGATCTAACAAATAAATGACCAATGTATCAACTTTATACCACAAAATTCTTGCCATAACATAGTAAACACCAGATCTACAGCCTCTCCCTTCAACAAACTTCTTCAAGCTTCTTGTTGCTTCCAAAAGAGCACCAAAAATCACTCTCCAAGCCCTCCCTCCCTCCCCCCACCCCCACCCCCACACACACACACACTGAGAGCAAAAGCACGAACTAGGGTTTTCTCTGGACAAGGAGGCGATAATGGAGGCCAACAATAAGACTTGAGGCCTTTAAATAGGGTGGAAACCCTAAAAATTAGGGTTTTCATATTCAGCCTTCAACCCGTCGAGTTGGGGTCTTCTAACTCGTCGAGTAGACATTGAAGATACGTGGGTATTAAATACCTTACACAACGAGTTGGAGCCTTCCAACTCGTTGACTTGGTCTGCAAATATAAATATATAAATCTTTAAATTCATACTTACAAATTGGGAGGTTACAAGGAGAATCGTCCAACTCTTAAAAAATAGAGAAATACCAAGAAAAATGAACAAAGTCAACTTCACCCATCGAAAAAGGAATTATATAAGGTGACAGGAAACAACAAGGTACCCAAATATCCAATGGACCAACAGACAAGTCAGAACCAACCAGGGGCAATGGTCTACAATATCATAACTACAAAGAGCATCAAACCAGGGGAAACGTGGTCCAATGCAGGAGAAGAGATGTGCACATGAATCAATCAGGGGTAATTGACACATCCAATAGCAGCCACGAGGAGTATCTCAAACAATCGAGAAACACTAAGCAACTATCATGGATATCTACAAACCGCCAAAGAAAGACGAACACACACCTCAACCCCTAAAAATAAGAAGAACAAGAACAAGGGCTTGCTCCCTATAAAATGAATGTATTTAACCTAGACTTTTGTTTTAACTGCTACATCGCTAATAGTCAATGCAAACGGTTGTTTGAGACTAGCCGGTTAAGTGTTATTAAATTATGCAATATACAAAAATAATGGTTAAAATGTATTTAAAATAACAAAGGGTGTGTGGGTTTTTTTTTTTTTTTTTCCTACGATGCAAGATAATAGATAGGGTTTTTTAAAGGTTTTCACTTTTTCAAAAACATTTCTCTTATAATGGTGATAATTCTTAAAAATCCCGATTTAATTATTTTATTACCTATCTTTAATGGATTTTGAAGCCCAAATACTAGAACTATGCACATGTCCTTTTTCAATTCGGCAAATGTCTCATATGCAGTTTCAGACGTTTTATTTATCTTTTAATCCAAGGATCCAAAACCTTTTATCTTTTAATCCATGGATCCAAAACCTTTTATTACTGACACAATATTCGCAATAGATACAATATTTATAATATACCTTTGATCCTGCCTAGTCTGCTAGACCTCTTAAAATATTTTAACTTAAAATAAGTAAATTGTTTTTATCAAACTATATTCTCAATTAAAAATTAAAGGAAATAGATTTATTATGGTAATTAATTTTCTGGTTTGTTCATATTTGGATAATTTTTTTTTCTACATTTATTGGTAACGGATTTTTAAGAAATTTTCACATATGATCATTATGACCGACTATAGGATGTTACCTCCAGCTATAATTGTCATATGTAAATACTTTCAAAAAATTTATTATCTATGTACAAAAAAAATATATTTACTCATATGTCAACATACTCAAAAAGTAAAAGTAAAATTACAAGAATGGTCCTTGTGGTTTAGGTAATTTATATGTTTGATCCTTAACTTATTCTTTAATTCCGATGATTTCTACTGTTTGTTTTTATTGTGCGTTTAGTCACTGTCTTGTCGAAAAAGACTATTGTGCCATTCTTATTTTTTTAATTAATTTTCTTATTTATGTTATTATTTTTTATATATTAAAAAAAAAATATTAGACCTCACATATGTTGCTTCAGAGTTAAGGTGAGGAGATACAAATATGTAAGGTCCATTAATTTTTTTAATATATAAAAAATAAATACATAAATAAGAAAATTAATTAAAAATAAATTAATAATGATACAATAGTCTTTTTATATAAGATACGACGCACAATAAAAATAAACAATATGGATCATTCGAATTGCAAAATAAGTTAGGGATCAAACATACAAATTACCCAAACCATAGAGACCATTCGTGTAATTTACTCTTACCTTTTCAATTTGTTCACATTTAGGTAAGTATATATTTTTTTTGTACACATCTAAGTAACCAACTTTTTAGAAGTGTTCACATATGATCATTATGACTCGTTATGATCGGATGTAACCTACAATAGTTGGTCATAATGATCATATATGAACATTTTCAAAAAGTTCGTTATCTAAATCTGTACAAAAAAAAAATACTTTGTAGATGTAAATAATCAAAACGTTAATTACCTTAATAAATCTATTCAGAAAATAAACTTTTTTTTTCTAATATCTTTGCTAATCCAAAAGAAAAAAGGTAAATTTTTTTTTTCTAATATGCTTGCTGTTTCAGAAACAAAAAGTTTTATTAATATGCGAAAAAAGTAATCATTAGTCTCTCTCTCTTGCTTTATTTATATGTTCATCCTTTGCTTAAATCATCAAGCTCCATAATCTCTCAGTGAAACTCTCTTTAATCTTGATTGTGGACAACAAACGAAACAGCCACACACAGAATCAAAGAGTAGGGAGCTGAATAAAAACAGCACATGGATTTCTTTTTACACTATAGAAACCCTAGTTTCCATTCTTCTTCTTCGTTAGTTCTAACAAGCAATAAAGTCAACAACAGAGTTCATGGGAGAGAAGGGGAGAGGAAGAAGAACAAGAGAAACCACAAAATCAGCACTAAAGTGAAGCTCTCAACGGACCCACAAAGTGTAGCAGCAAGAGAGAGAAGGCACAGAATCAGCGAGCGGTTCAAGAATCTGCGAAGCTTGATACCAGGTAGTGATACCAGGAACATGGATACAGTATCCATGCTGGAGGAGGCCATTCAATATGTCAAGTTCTTGAAAGCTCAGATTTGGCTACACCAAACAATGATTAGTTTTGAGAATTTTCATGATTATGATAATGCTAATAGAAATTATCATCATTATCAATACTCGAATCAAGATCTTCTCCCATCTGATAATTTCTATTGTGATTACCACAACCTCTCCAGCTTGCCTCAAATGGAACATGAAGTCGTACCCCAACTAGGGTTTGAAGATGGATCTTGCTTCAAGGTTGAATATGATGATAACAAGTTTTCTCCTTCTCATGGTATGATCATGTGATTTATCCATGAACATATGATATATCTATTATATATATAGATATTTACTTAGTTACAGCCCTAGATTTCCTATATCTATGTTCGAACGAGCTTCTCAAGTGCAGCTTAGTTTCATGATGTGATAAACAGTGTCTTAGATAATTAACATATATATATATGAATGTTTTAATTAGCATGAGATGGAACATAACCTGCCAACCATGTTGTATAGTCTTCCTTCTGACGTGGAATGATCGCATGCATCAAATATTTTCGATGAATTGGAAAGAAAAAGTACTTTAATCCATAGCCTAATATTATCCATGTTCAAATCAGTCCTTGTTGTCGCGGAGGTCTTAATTGAGCCATTGACTCTAAGGCATGAGATTATGTTGGGAGGATTAGGTCTGCAAAAGCTATTCGGAAAACCGTTTTTGTAAAAGTTTCATTTCCAACACATATTATAAAAAGATAAAACTGCAAATTTGGTCTCAAAAAACTTTAGATAGGATCCAAAAAGTTCTTAATTTCCATGGAAGGTTCAAAGTGAATGTTTTTCTGGGTTATTGGTCCAAAAAAACTTAAAAATACGGTTATACCCTTTTGATTTCTTTCTTCTTTTTTCTATTATTATTTTAATGTTATTTTTATTTTTTTAAAAAAAGAATTTTCCACCCTACCCCGATCTCTCTCTCTCTCTCTCTCCCTCTCTCATTGCACTAGTTACTCCACAAATTTCTGATGAACATACACACACACGAAAATCTCTCTCAAAAGAAAACCCACAAAATCCAATATACAATCGATTTATGTATGCATGTGTGTATGTGTAGGTTTCCTTCTGGAAATTATTTTTTGTATGTTCATATCCCTAAAGTTCATCAGATTCCCCCATAAGATCCAAATCAAAAAGCTTTGTCTGCCTCTTTCTGAAACTGAAATTGAAGCCAACACCCACTTCCCATCCCTCATATACACTTCTCCTCTTACTCTGAACCGAAGGAGACTGAATCGATGTCATCATTGAAGCATTTCAAGTGGTAGTTTTCAAAGGATTTTATTGTTGTTGCAGGTTGGTTCTTGAGAAACCGAAGATCTCTTTAAAGTAAGATTCGAACTCCTTTATGGTTTCTCTAATCATTGTCTCTATATGAAAATCAAAACCACTTATCACTTCAGATTCAGTAAATGAGTTCTTGTTAGTCGGCTTTGTTTTTCCGATCTGGGTTTTGTTGGAATTTCTTATTCGTCGATGATGATTTGGAATATGTGGTTTCAATTTAGATATTGAACATTTTTTATTTGTTTTTTGTTTCGATTTTATTAAGAAAATGTAATAACTATTGTAATGGAGAGGATGGAAAAATCTTTTTTTTTTCTTTCTTTTTTTTTAAGTCAAAAAATCATTAAAATACTTATAAGAAAAGGAAAAAAGAAATCAAAAGCGCATAACCGTCTTTCTATGTTTTTTTTGGACCAAAAACCCAAAAAAACTTTCATTTTGGACCTTCCATGCAAGTTGAAAAGTTTTTGGATTCTATGCAAAGTTTTTAGATACCACAAGGACCAAATTTGCAGTTTTGTCTTAAAAAATGAAAAGAAAAGGATAGTAACACCTGAAAATGAATATGGTGTGTTATGAAATCCAAAAAGTATATGCTATATTCTTCGATATAGAATAATAGATAAGTCTCTTGTTTAAATATTTAGATGTAATTGTTGTAAAGATCGGGTCCATAGTTTTAGTATCTAATTGTTAAACTTGTTAATGGTAAATTGTTTCTATATAACGAGATTATACCCAACATGGCTATTTACGCCAAAATCTGTTTTTCTATCTTGGTATCAGAGCCATGATCCCTGCTTAAACCCTAAAATCCCCTTCCGATCCTTGTGCTTCATTCAACGAGCATCTCTACAATGACTACACCAGTCAAATCCTCCACCATAGCATATCGTGGATATTGATACACACAAATTTCTTGCTTTAGAAAGCTCAGGTTATCTCTATCCTTTGAGGATTGCAATTTTTTGGGCACCTTGATGGGACCACACTGTCACTAGAGGCTATAATCACTAGTGAAACTAGTGCTGCCGATAAAGAATCTCCATTGATAAAAAAATCACCCAATCTGGAGTATCAAACTTGGATGATCCAAGATTAGGCGCTAATTGGAGGACTGTTATCCTCCTTGACTAGAGAGGATCTCCCTTAATTAATTTGAAATAGCAACACTGCTCATGAATTGTTGACCATTCTTCACACTATGTTTTATGCCCAACATCAAGGCAACTCAATTCAGATTCAAACACAATTGTCAACTACCAAGAAGGAAGACATGAGTATAGCTGAGTACTATCAGAAGATGACAGGGTTTGTTGATACAATGGCAAATATTGGACAACCCATGAATGATGAGGAAGTAATCGGGTACATTCTACCTAGATTAGGACCCGGTCACAGTGACATCTTCACAACCATTACAATTTTGAGCAACGAACGAAAGGTAACATTAAGTGAGTTTTACTCTTATTTGATTGCTCATGAAGCCCAATCTGCATCTATGGGAAATACAGTCGAATTCACTTCATTAGCAAACAATGTGACTCAACTAGAACCCAGTGCACCCTGACACAACTTTAACAACAATAATAACAAGAATGGCGGAGGATATCACACATCCAACAGCTATCACAAAGGTAACTATAGAGGCGGTGGCAGTAGAGGACATAGTCGTGGTCGCGGAAGAAACAATGGTGAGCCACGATGTCAATTTTGTGGAATACAGGGTCATACATCCATAACTTGCAGAAACATGTTCAATCACTCTTACCAGGCTGATGAATTTTGCAGTGGAAATAGTGTGACAATAGGAGGCTATCATCCTGATAGTGGGTGGTTTATGGACCGTGGAGCGACATATCATCTTACTAGTGATCTGGATCTGCTAAAAACTCAAGAAAGATACACTAGGAAGGATCAAGATCAGGTGGAAAATGGATCAGGTTGGTCTGTTTCTCATATTGGTCATTCATTAATTCCCGGTATTGGTAGACTCCTTGTTCTTAAGAACGTCCTTCATGTGCCTCATATTACCAAAAATCTTTTATCTATTCACAAACATGTCACATATGGCAATGTTTTTATTGAACTTTATCTTAATGTATTTTTGTTAAGGACATTGCCAAGAAGAAAACAATCATGCTCGGTAGAAGCAAAGGGAGGCTCTATCCAATATCGACAAATCGTTTTCATCCTCAAGGTTTTTCCAGTGTCAAAGTCTCATCATCTCAATGGCATAGGCGTTTTGGTCATCCAAATTCCATAGTGGTCAAGTCAATTTTGAAGTCGAATATAATAGGTTGTTCTTTTTCTAGTGAGTCATCTGTTTGTGATGCTTGCCAATGGGCTAAGAGTCACTAACTCCCTTATCATAGTTCAGGTCGTGTGACTTCATATCCTCTTGAGCTAGTTCATACTGATGTTTTGGGACCAGCTCAGGTGTCTGGTGGAGGTTTTAGATATTATGTCAGTTTTTTGGATGATTACAGTCGTTTTACTTGGATCCATCTTATTAAAAATAAATCCGATGTTGAGCAAATGTTCTATACTTTTCAAACTCATGTGGAATGCCTATTAAATGCCAAAATAAAAAACATACAATATGATTGGGTGGAGAATACCAAAAACTTCAAAAATATTTTAAGACAATCTGGAATTGCTCATCATGTCTCATGCCCACATACTTCACCTCAAAATGTTGTAGCTGAGCGCAAGCACCATCGTATTGTTGAAACTGGACTTGCACTTCTTACGCACTCTTCACTTCCTCTTAGATTTTGGGATGAAGCATTCTTAACTGTGTGTTATCTTATCAATCGTATGCCCACCAGAAATCTTCACAACCTTACACCTATCACACAACTCCTTAAAATCAAACATGACTATTCTTTTCTTCGTGTGTTTGGGTTCACTTGTTCGCCAAGTCTTATGAAATACAAGACTCAAAAACTCAATTTTCAATCCAAGCAATATGTTTTTCTAGGATATAGTTTTCTTCATAAAGGTTATAAGTGTTTGGATAGAGCTACAGGTCATATTTATATCTCTCCCGATGTTATTTTTTATGAGTCTCAATTTCCATTGCTAATACTAATTGCTCATCATCACCATCTAATGACTCTACCTCATCCTCATATCTTCAAAAAGAATCGACAATTAGTAATGATCATATGAGCAACTATGAATTATCACTGTTATATGCTAATGATTCTCATGCAGCTGTAGCACCATCTCATGTACAAGTTACATCATTGTTGTTGGGTTTTATGTAGTATAACACTCATATGGTGCACATACAACCCTAAATGCTTTAGATCTAAGTTTTCTCTAGTTATACATGTAATAAAAATTTCCAAAGCATGAAGCCTACAACTAGCATAAAATTTGTCATATAGATCATAAAAGTAAGTTACAAGATTACCTATTGTTGTAGCTTGTTGTATTTGGCCTTTAAGAACTTAACACCTCAAGTATGATGCCTCAAATGGTTCATAAACACCATGAAAAAATGGAGAACTTGAGAGAGAAGTTATAAGGCACTCAAAATTGACTATAGTATCTCTAAGATCACTAGTGTATCAAACTTTAGGCCAAGGGGTTACATGTAACCCTAATTCTTACACTTAGGCTTATGATCCATAACTCATGTGGACTAAAACTTCATGGATTCTTACATGAACTTAGTCCATCATGGATCAATAACCCAAACCTTATGTATCACTAATTTACATAAGTAGTCCCTATTTATTTAATTATTCTCTTTTCATAACTAAATTAATTACAAATTAAATCTTGATTAATACTAATTAAATAATGGGATTTCTCGATTACTATATTATACTTATAATATAATACTAAATCACAAATAACCACTTTCTCAAATATACTTCCTATCACATTGTTCTGGTTAAGGCAGCCCAAATGGACCATGCTACTCTCGGGTCAAGTACATACCAAAT